ACGCACAGAATGACTAAGAAAAAGAAGTCACACTGTAGATAAGAACCATTTTCTTACGGCAGAAGTACTTTTTGAATGTTTCACAGTGATGGTGTTTTAAAGAGTTTGCAGAAGGTAGGGTTGTAATACGGTATAAAAGAACATTTAAAAGACGTTTTTTGTGGGGGATATTGATGAGTCCTTAATTCCTCCACCTCTTTGGCCTGCTCCAGCATCCATCTTCCTCGTGTGCCTCTAGATAAGAGGAGGCGATGGGGTGTTACTTGTAGTACACACTTAGCCACCCCCCCCCCACCCCCCCGCCCGGCACTGCCTGTGGTTATTTCCTTTCTTGATCGCCAGCGGATCACATACACAAAACACATGCAGCTCTAGCCAAACCCCAGTTCCATTTCACTCCACAAAGACCACAATAATTGGATGGAGCTCTCCAAGATGATATCTAATCTGTCTCTAAGATATCCCCCTTATCTTACATCTTGCCCATTGTTTTTGTAGCTTTTCTAAAAGCTTTAAAAAGATAGCAGTGACAGTTATATTTGTTTCCCACATTAGTCCAAAAAGATTTTCACGATTTTTTTGTGCGTAACACACAAACAGCACAATGCTATAATTCAGAGGTATAAAACATAAAAGGTGCATCAATCTTTTCCCAGTAAAATCCAGATCCATATCAAAATAGAATCGTCTTTCAGCATTGATTAAAGGAAGACAAAAGCCAAGGGTACAATAACATTGTAAGCAAGAAAAGTTTTAAATAGAAATATGACACAAATGATCACAGCTATTATCAAATGATGTAAAATACAATATCGTTATTGAGTAATATTTGCTGTTCATATTCCATAGGGTAGTGATTGATAACTTTTTGTTACCACTTGGGGCTATTTTTAGATCAGAAACTTCAGGAACCATGGACTCAGCAAACCTATTCTTGCGGAGTCCCCCTACCAAGACAGCTGATGATCTTTTCACTTCCTCCACAACGCAGATAATTCAGGAGCTCTAGAAAGCTGCCCATTCAGCTTATAGCTAGAACTGGACCTGGTAGTACATTTATTACTGTGTTCTAATTCACATTCCATTTTCTGTCAGGATGCAGCCAATGACATCAATGACTGCATCATCACAAGACCAAACCTTAGAAGCTAGAACTATGCTTGTACACTCTGCCAGGTGTGCAGGCTTCTGAAGAGAACAGCAAATTACAGTCAGATGTGATTTGTGTTAAGCAGAAATAATGGGAATTGTCACGTGAGTCATCTAGGCAACCTGCTTACATAATGCAAACAAAATGAAGTTTCATGGACAATGAGAAGTAGAGAGCAGTTTCCTTATTGGTCCTTATCAGTTTCTTTGTTGGTCATTGAAGCCATAATTTAACTGAACAGAATTTTGAAAAAAAGTTTAACTAATAGCAATGTTATTCTCTAAATACCTACTCAGCTTAATAAATATATAAACCTCAGCCCCAAATCACTGTAATGTGTTTATATTAAATAAGCTGTAGTCTCCATGATCCTCAACATCTAACATACAATTGGAGCTTTTTGTTCCCATTGAAAGAATTTAGACAATTTGTTAATCCTAAACGTAAAAAAAACATATCCAGTTATATTAAAGAATTTTTTACCACTCAGTAATAAGATTGTACCAAGATATCCGAATAATATCTAATTTGAAAATATAGCATTGCATAACACATTGCATGCATGAATGAAGGGCTTGTCATACATATATCCAGCTAAGATGACATCAAGGGCACACTAAGGGGAGGTAAAAAAAAATAAAACATGTTTAGTATGATTAGAATATGCCTGTAGAGAGCGCCTACTGCTCTGGGCTTAGTTTTCCATCTGTCACTTTCTGTTTGTATATCTGTAGACCTTACAAAATGACGTCAGAGCAGATATGTCAAGTTAATTCAATGACATTTTTAAGGAGCCATCCAAACAGTGTAAATCTTTATTATTTTGAAAATTTTCCTATTTGACGTCTTTGTCATTGTGATATTATATGATTCCAAATCTGTTAAACTTTGAGGTAATTGCATAAAATGAATGACATTGTCGCACATTGGGGCAGCGTGATTTTCAATTGTTGGTCAGGATAAGCAGTTACTGAAAATCAGATCAGTCTGTATACAATTTTAACTATTGTAAAAGAAGTAATGCCATTTTATGGGAAAACCATTATCACATGACCATATAACTTCTAAAGCAAATAAATGTAGGTTCACCCAATTTATCAGGTGTGTTTGTGTCATTATAATTTGGCAAATCATTTCTAACAAAAACACAAGAGCAAGTTGAGGGAGGCATAAAAAAGAATTTCCCCACGGGGACAATAAAGGATCAATTATTATTATTATTATTAGTAGTAGTATTATTAAATGACAATGTTTTTTATGCTTCTTTGATACAATTTTTCTGACAAGGAGCCAGTGATTATTCAAATGCTGGAACCTGTGAGTAGAGTAAGCAATTCTGGTTTGACTGGGTTTGTCTTATAACAGTGTTCCTCAATCCGGTCCTTGAGGACCCACAGACTGTCCACGTTTTAGTAAAAATGTGGACTGTCTGACAGGGAGCTGGGAGAGAGCACAAATGCTGACCGTCTGTGGGTTCACGAGGTCTGAGTTGGGAAACATTGTCTTATAATTTCACCGTAGCAAGAACAGCACACGCCTATGACACATGGAGTAAACCAGCAGTTTCAGTAGTTAAGGTTTTCAAAACAATTTAACATTATGTAATTTTTTAGTTTTCTAAAACTAGACTTACCTGCCATGTTTTTGCTTTACTTAGTTTATGTTAATCAGCTGTAATTTACTAAAAAGTTCGATTTTTATTACTTCAAAATGAAAAGTATAGCCTTGTTATGGTGAATGGCAAACATTCATAAATTATTTTAAATGACATACATCCAAACCAGAGACGTCTCTAGCTATTCAAAAGATCAGGGGCTAAGTCAAGTTTACCTGGGGCTTGACCTTTTTTTTTTTTTGAAGGAAGATTGGCATCAGGGCTAAAATACTCGGTGCTTGGCTTAACATACTCAGGACTATAGCCTCAAGTGATCAGATGCTCGGCTTAACATACTCAGGACTATAGCCCCGAGTGATCGGATGCTCGGCTTAACATACTCAGGACTATACCCCAAGTGATCGGATGCTCGGCTTAACATACTGAAGACTATAGCCCCAAGCGATTGGATGCTCGGCTTAACATACTCAGGACTATACCCCAAGTGATCGGATGCTCGGCTTAACATACTCAAGACTATAGCCCCAAGCGATCGGATACTCGGCTTAACATACTCAGGACTATAGCCCCAAGTGATCGGATGCTCGGCTTAACATACTCAGGACTATACCCCAAGTGATCGGATGCTCGGCTTAACATACTCAGGACTATAGCCCCGAGTGATCGGATGCTCGGCTTAACATACTCAGGACTATAGCCCCGAGTGATCGGATGCTCGGCTTAACATACTCAGAACTATAGCCCCGAGCGATTGGATGCTCGGCTTAACATACTCAGAACTATAGCCCAGAGTGATCGGATGCTCGGCTTAACATACTCAGAACTATAGCCCCGAGTGATCGGATGCTCGGCTTAACATACTCAGGACTATAGCCCCGAGCGATTGGATGCTCTGCTTAACATACTCTATAGCCCAACTATAGCCCAGAGGGATGGGACCTAACGATGCCCATGATCCAAATTAAGGACTTGTAATCTGATAGCTGAACTTCAATTAAATAAATAGCCTCATTAAATATATTTTAGGGCTGTCGATAGATTAAAAAAACAAATTAATCGCACATTTTGCAATTAATTAATTTCTTAAGACTAAAGCTTGTTATAGTGCATATTTAAATGTAAAATCAGTCACCAAATTAATGTAGAATAATCACAAAGGATGTATATTTCAGATATTTTAATATACTGTAGTAGGTCATGAATGACAACAATACAGAAAAGGGTCTTTTTCAATCATTTGTATGGTTTATATGGCTGCACCATAATGCATGGTGCGATGACGTTGTTATTTACATTAATTGTGGTAATTGTGTTAAATTATTTTAAAGTGTTAAAATTAATCACAAGGATGATACATTAATTTTGACAGCACTAATATATTTTGAATAATTTTGAAAATGAGAAGCAATAGTGCATTTTCATCTATGTTATTCTGCCCTTTGAGTGACTGAGGTGCCAGATTTTTATAGTTTTCGAAGTCTGATATTACAGTGAGTTTATGGCTAAATTACCCATCTGTCCATCCATTTTCTTAATGAAATAAACTTGCACTTATTCTGTTCAGGATTGTAGGGGGTCCAGAGCCTAACCTGGAGGCTATAGGCAGAAGGCAGGGAACAACCCAAGATGGGGTTCCATCTCATTGCAGGGCACACTGACACACCACCCTCTCTCTCACTCACACACACACACACTGACACACCACCCTCTCTCTCACTGACACACACACACTGACACACACACACGCAGGCAATTTGACAAGTCCAATCAACCTCAGCATGTTTTTGGACTGTGGGGGGAAACCCCACAATGACACAGGGAGAATATGCAAGCTCCACACACATGAAAGCTTGGCGGAAACTTGAACCCAGTTCCCAGAGGTGTGAAGCGACAGTGCTAACCGCCATGCTGCCCCTGGCTAAATTGGTCAGTGAATAAAATCGTCAATATTATACTAAACAGAATTGTCTGTTAGCCTTGCTGAGCAATACATATCAACTAATTACTTTATGGAACATGGCATTGGGAAGCCTGAATACCCAGAAAGTGGACAGAACATTCTGAAGGAGTTCTGCTTCTTTACCCATGCATATCACTGCACAATATGACTTTATTGTCAAACTACAAGTCTGCAGTGAGAAGGCTAGAGAAGAAACAAAACATTAAGGTTACTCAGTAACACAATGGATGCTGCCTTAGCCAAATGTCTATGTGAAGGAATTACACAGTTACATATTTCACGCACAAAATAGTTTATTGGAACAAAAATAACATTACAACAATAGTTTAGACATAGGTTATTTTGAGATAATATATAGAGAGAATGATATACAGTATGATTAGCATACAGACATTTGTCAGTATTATATAACTCTTAGGGGCACGCAATCATTTTCAATTATATGTATTTCAAATTATGTTTTAAAACATTGCTGAACATAGCAGCACTAAGACACCTTCTCATATGTGAGTGTAATTGTATACTATGCTAGTATTTTCTTTACTTAACAGTTATGTCATCCTTTATTTATAAATGAATGAAAATGCCTCTTCTGCTATACCATCATTATTGACTAATTACTTAAATGGTATGTTTTGGTTCACATATTCTAGGGACACAGCTCCCTGGTTTAGTGTGTTGCTTATTTTGTTTTTTTTTTTAGAAAAATAAAACAGGACGAATGGGAACAATTCCATAATGGTGCAACAAGTAAATGCAATTCAGTCAGAAGAATCTGAAATACAGTATGAACCTTTGTAATCAATGTTTGTGATGAACATAAAAATCACTAAATCCACAAAGATGAAAATTAGCTACTTCTGCATATAATTTATAACCAGCATTTATAACCAGCAATTATATGTGTGCTGAAGTACATATTTGTTCTACATCCCTCATGACTGCATTGATGGAACATGTCACATCACATTACCAAACATATGCCATCATGTTGGACTACCGCTGGACATCACTACTACACATGAGTTCACTCTCTATTTCCCTTTCTTCTTCTGCTGTTCTTGAAAGAAATCATTGCAGGCCACCGTCAGGGCAGCCACCAACACCACAAACTCATTGAAGTCCACCTCGTTGTCTTGGTTGGAGTCCAGGTCGCTCATGATTTTCTCCACAAGCATGGGGTCCTTTTGAGACTGAGAAGGGGAATCACATTAGTTTGCAGGAAGGAACATCACCAGAATTTTAAGTGAGTGCACGGGCATAGGAGACTGGGGGGACTCAGTAATTTAAACATAAAGGTTTACTTATTAGAGTTAGGGTTAGCTTTTAAGGGTTTTTAGGGTGAATGAAGCCCAACTAACTGGGGCAAACACCACCCCCCCCCCCAGTTCCTACAGCCCAGAGCACGAGTGGCACATGACATGCGGTCTGACAGTCATGGCACTGAAAACCACATCTGTTCATTCATTCCCAAACACTGAACCACCATGTTGGTTAATTAGCGTGACCAAAGGCTGAGCTATCTGTTTAATTTGATGTAGCGTAAATTGATGTGCTCAGCTCTGTCCTTCCGATATCTCTTTCTCCGAGGGGGGGCTCAGAGAGAAGCACAAGGTGACGTGTGCATGGCTCATCAGTGACTCACCCCCATAGCTAGTCATGCCCAACTCACCCCCTATGAATCACCCACAACATATTGTTGAGAAATCAAACTGTGCCCCGACATGAGTGCCCATCTGATGCATGTGGTCAACGATGCGTGGACACGACGCCATCAGACAAGCCGATCGTCCACATTAATCTTGGTTACTTTTCATTCCTCATTTGCAGTGAGATGTTACCAAGCAACAATGTAACAATATGCACTACAGTGATGCTGCATTCATTTACTTTTCCTTTGAATGTGTCTATAATTAAATATAATATCACTCCGTGGTTATTACATAAAAATTTAGTCTGATGGATGTAATTACAGGCATTCTGGGATGTTGTTTAGTGTATAGTTACAGTACAAAATATTCCACACAGGGAGCCACAAATAAGTTACAGGCAGCAGGCAACAGGAATGCTGGGGAAAAATGATATCACAGGGGCCTATATTGAGGAGGCACTACAGCGCAAAGCTAATTTGCCCGCTTACAGCAATGTGGCGGCAGTTCTCTCATCTGGAGCATCGGATAAACATGGTGAGCTTATCTGGCCTCTCACACCCCATTCATTTCCTAGCTGTCCGCTATCACGCTATCTGGAGCAGACTTCCGCCACTGGAAGCGAATGGGATCATCATTCATGCCCCCCATTCCAACGTTCTCGCCGCGCTCTTAGCTGGGGTGCAGAGCTTTTGCTTAAAAAAAATCCCATATCTATTTGACATGCATAATTCAACAAATAAACTGCGTCGGTTTCTCAAAAATAAATGCTGGAATCTTATACTGTACCTATATAAGTGCCTGCACATTCTGCCTACTTTCTGTTTTTAAACATGTTATAGAATTACATTTTACTCCTAAGCACCAGACAGAAAAATAAAACAAAGAGGCTAGGTACAGCTGCCTTACCAACTTACGTGCTCAGGGAATGCCGGGACCTGTATCGCCTTGATCATAACCCCCGCGTTTGTGTACGCTATTCATGTTCACTGGCTTGTCGCATTTACATAATACTAAGATGCACTTTCATCTGAATTCAGAGCTTACCCACCATCAAATAGGCAGTTCATTACCATGACAATATAACACTTTAGGCAAAACAGTCACAATTACAAAGCTATTTTTATTCATAGTGCTTTAAAAAGTGGATCAAAAGATTTGAATGCCAGCTGAGATTCTACCTTTGTACTACTTGCAAGTCATTTGGGACAATTAAGTTAGCAAAAAGCTATGACAAACAATCTTGTCATTCGTATATTTTCAAGTAATTGATCATAATTTCACATTTCACTAAATAGATAATACTATGGGAAACTTTTCCCTTGTTTTTTACGTAAGCAATCTATTCTGGATGTCATGAGAATCATGTCTTAAAAAATTATTTGCAGCATAAAAAATACTCATTAAGGTTTACTTACAAATTCCCATCTGTTAGGGTTAGAATTGTACTTGGTCGTCTCTTTTATGATTTGGATGTGGAGCCTTATAAAATGTATGCCATTTTTAGTTTGTTTAAAAATACATCCAGGTTAATATTATGCATTTATTACTATAAACAGATTGATTACTAAATGAAAGAACTTAATCTATTTAGACAGGAAATCCCATTATATCTGGTGAAAAATACGCCCTTCTTACTCATGAATAGATTTTAAACTTATATCGTACCGCGATTGCAGGGACTTACCGTCAAAAAGTCAGTGAGCTCACTGTTTAATAGCTGCTTCAGCTCGCCCTTGTTCAGCTTGTATTTGTCACCGTCATTGCCGGAATAATTGTAAAAGACGGTAATAAGGGCATCCATTGCGCTCTCCAGCTGGGTTGGCATGGTGATCAGAGATCAAGAGCACAGGCAACCTGCAGAGCAAAGGTGTGGAAAAATAGTTACATTTGCCGAAATGTCATTGTGAAGTAATTAGCATTAGCCACCGGGGCACATAATAACAAAACTAAGGAAACAGCATATTTCCTTCAAATTCAAACCATACACATACACCTGAAGCACAGAGGGATATGAGAGAAACGTCGAAAGGAGCGTTCTCCGAGAGCAAGCCCGGGAAGTGACATGTCACCTGAAAGCCCAACAGGAAGGCCAAGAAGAGCGGTAACAGCGCGCAACAGGTGAGAGTCCGGGTAGGTCTGTGGTGCGGAAGGATGCAGCACTGCTCATTTGTGAGGGGTACCTTGGGAATGAAAAGAGCCACCTCCATCCCGTCCTGCTAATTAATTTCACAGGTAAAAGGCCTGTGGCAACAGTCTCCAACCACACTGCTTTAACAAGGCACGCTAATGAGCGCAAGAAAAACAAAGTGTGCACCTCAGCCCTCGGAAATCATCAGAGGCTTCTTATCTTTTAATTTTAGCTCACTATGTTTAGTATGACAGGAAATCATAATTCAATATGTATAATTACACAGTTGAATTGAAGTCTCAGGATTAGACCAATACATTATGCCAGTTAAAATTTGCAGATAGAGGCAAAAAATTTGCAGATATATATATATATATAAGTACAAATTGGATACATCCTTCTATCTTCTCACCACTTGTAGCGCTGGAGCGCATCTCCGGAAGCAGAGGCACACTACTGGGGAATGTCGGTCCATCACAAGGTGCATAAACAGGACAGGTTAGAGGCGCCCAACTGTATGTCTTTGGCCTGTATTAGGAAATCCACACAGCATGGGGAGAATACAGAAACTAATCCTAAACCTAATCCTAAACCTAATCCTAACCCTAACCCAGGCGGAAGGCTGTGGCAGAGCTGCCCACTGAGCTGCCGTTCTAAACTAAAATTAATGCAAATATACCACTAGAGTATTATGTCATTTATTAAATATTTTAACTTAAACTTTGCAAAACACATTACGGACAAGAGCTTTACAGTACATTATATGAAATGTAAAAACTGCAGAACTGCAGACAAAGTGTTGGATAAACTAAAATATGCTGAGAACAAGGCTGCTGTTCTTAAATTTTTCACATTTAAGGAATTTTCAGATTTGGTGTAATGGCGAAATTCACTTTTTTGGTGAAATTAAATTGTTGAGAGATACGCTGTTTGGCTTGCCGTGTATCAAATTTTTGAAACTATTGTAACATTTGCATTATTATTCAGCTAAACACGATTCAACCGACATGTTCATATCACACTTAGTTTGGGTTTGTTCACTGTCAGTTATTTCCACACATTGTGGTGATGCGTGGTCAGACAAACTATTTTGGAGATTTCAGACGAAGACCGACCTGAAACTATAGCCTCCTAAAATTCTGGGGTGGGGGGGGGGAGGGCCAGCAGACTGCCCCACATCACTCTCAATAATAACCACCTTTCGGCTGCATGCTGACATCGCTGTGTGAATGACACTTCATTTTCTGAACTGAATATGACC